AAAAACCCCAAAATCCATCCCCAAAATCCATCAAAATATCCCCAAAAATCCATCCCCAAATCCATCCCGGCATCCTCTTCGTGGCCGCCGGTAGGTGGGGAGAAAATCCCCAAAAAAACCCCAAAATCCATCCCCAAAATCCATCCTAAAATCCATCACGGCATCCTCTTCGTGGCCGCTGGTAGGTGGGGGCAAAAAACCCAAAATCCATCCCCAAAAACCCCAAAATCCATCAAAAAATCCATCAAAATATCCCCAAAATCCATCCCCAAATCCATCCCAAAATCCATCCCTAAAACCCAAAAATCCATCAAAAAATCCATCCCCAAAAACCCCAAAATCCATCCCCAAATCCATTAAAATATCCCCAAAAAACCATCCCAAAATCCATCCTCTTCGTGGCCGCCGGTAGGTGGGGGCAAAAAACCCAAAATCCATCCCCAAAAACCCCAAAATCCATCCCCAAATCCATTAAAATATCCCCGAAAATTTTTTTAAAAAAATCATTTAACAACACAACAATTTCAACTTTCCATTTCTTTTCCTTTACCAAGTCTCCGCTCCCCTCAATAATTAAATTTTTAACTGAAATTTTTTTTTTAAAATTTAAATTTTTAAAATCAAATTTTCAAATGAATTTTTTTTAAATTTAAATTTTTTAAATCAAATTTTTAAATTAATTTTTTTTTTAATTTAAATTTTTTAAATCAAATTTTCAAATGAATTTTTTTTTAAATTTAAATTTTTTTTAAATCAAATTTTTAAACTAATTTTTTAAATTTAAATTCATTAAATTAAGGGGGCGCCGCCCGGCACGCCCGGCGCCCCTCCCCCACCCGGGGGGGCCTTCCTGACGCTGCAGGGGGGGGGAGGGGCCGAGACCCCCGGGGGGGGCACCGGGACCCTCAACAGGAGAACCACGCCCGTCTAGGGGACAGCCCCGAAATCGCCCGAAATGAACCCAAAATTCACCCCGGGATTCATCAGAAATCAGCCAAAATTCATCAAAAATCAGCCCAAAATTCACCCCAAGATTCATCCAAAATTCAGCCGAAATTCACCCCAAAATTCATCAAAAATCAGCCCAAAATTCACCCCAAAATCACCCAAAATCAGCCCAAAATTCACCCCAAAATTCAGCACAAAATCAGCCAAAAATACCCCAAAATTCACCCCGAGATTCATCCGAAATTCACCCGAAATTCAGCCCAAAATTCATCCAAACTCAGCAAAAAATACCCCAAAATTCACCCTGGGATTCATCAGAAATCAGCCCAAAAATTCACCCCGAAATTCATCAAAAATCAGCCCAAAATACCCCAAAATTCACCCCGAGATTCATCCGAAATCAGCCAAAAACTCACTCCGAAATTAATCAAAAATCAGCCCAAAATTCACCCCAAAATCACACGAAATCAGCCAAAAATTCATCCAAAAATCAGCCCAAAATTCATCAAAAATCAGCCCAAAATACTCCAAATTTCACCCACAATTCATCCAAAATTCGCCCGAAATTCAGCCCAAAATTCACTCCGAAATTCACCCCAAAATCAGCCAAAAATTCACTCCGAAATTCACCCCAAAATCAGCCAAAAATTCCCTCCAAAATTCACCACAAAATCCCAAAATTCACCCCGGGATTCATCAAAATTCAGCCCAAAATTCATCAAAAATCAGCAAAAAATACCCCAAAATTCACCCCGAGATTCATCCGAAATTCACCCGAAATTCAGCCCAAAATTCAGCACAAAATCAGCAAAAAATACCCCAAAATTCACCCCGGGATTCATCAAAATTCAGCCCAAAATTCATCAAAAATCAGCAAAAAATACCCCAAAATTCACCCCGAGATTCATCAGAAATCAGCCCAAAATTCACCCCAAAATCACCCGAAATAAGCCCAAAAATCACTCCAAAGTTCATCCAAAAATCAGCCCAAAATTCATCCAAAAATCAGCCCAAAATTCACTCCGAAATCACCCAAAATCAGCCCAAAAATCACTCCAAAATTGCGCAAAATCAGCCCAAAATTCATCCAAAAATCAGCCCAAAATTTATCAGAATTCAGAAATCACTCCAAAATCGCCCAAAATCAGCCCAAAATTCATCCAAAAATCAGCCCAAAATTCATCAAAATTCAGCCCAAAATTCATCAAAAATCAGCCCAAAATACCCCAAAATTCACCCCGAGATTCATCCGAAATCAGCCAAAAACTCACTCCGAAATTAATCAAAAATCAGCCCAAAATTCACCCCAAAATCACACGAAATCAGCCAAAAATTCATCCAAAAATCAGCCCAAAATTCATCAAAAATCAGCCCAAAATACTCCAAATTTCACCCACAATTCATCCAAAATTCGCCCGAAATTCAGCCCAAAATTCACTCCGAAATTCACCCCAAAATCAGCCCAAAATTCACTCCGAAATTCACCCCAAAATCAGCCAAAAATTCACTCCGAAATTCACCCCAAAATCAGCCAAAAATTCACTCCAAAATTCACCACAAAATCAGACAAAATTCACCCCAAAATCGCCTGAAATCAGCCCAAAATTCACTCCAAAATCGCCCAAAATTCATCCAAAAATCAGCCCGAAATTCATCAAAAATCAGCCCAAAATTTATCAGAATTCAGCCCAAAATTGCACCGAAATTCATCAAAAATCAGCCCAAAATCAGCCCGAAATTCATCAAAAATCAGCCAAAAATTCACTCCGAAATTCACCACAAAATCAGCCGAAATTCACCCAAAATTATTCAAAAATTCATCCAGAATTCACCCCAAAATTCACCCGAAATCACCCCAAAAGTCATCCAAAAGTCGCCTCAAAATCACCCAAAATCCACCAAAAATTACCCCAAAATCAGCCCAAAATTCAACTGAAATCAGCCCAAAATTCACCCTAAAATTAATCAAAAATTCATCAGAATTCACCCCAAAATTCATCAAAAGTCACCCCAAAATTAACCCAAAATTCATCCAAAAATCACCTCAAAATTCACTGAAAATTGATCAAAATTCCATCCAAAATTCCCCAAATTCACCCCAAAAATCCACCAGGACCTCCCCAAAATCCTCCCCAGAGCCCCAAAATCAGGGTCCCAAAATTTGCCTTTTTTAGGGGGAATTCCCCAGATTTTCCCTCCCTGGTGGGTCCCAAAAATCCTCATTTTTGGAGCCCCAAAATCATCAATTTTTGGGGGAAAATTCCCCAAATTTCCCCTCCCTGGTGGGTCCAAAAATCGCCTTTTTTTACCTCCCCCCCCCTTTTTTCCCCCTTTTTTAAACTTTTTTTGGTCCTTTTTTCCCCTTTTGTTCACTTTTTCTTGTTATTTTTCCATTTTTTCTCTTTTTTTAACATTTTCCCCTTTTCTTGTCCTTTTTGCCCCATTTTTTTGCCTTTTTTCCCCATTTTTCCCCATTTTTTTCTCATTTTTCCCCATTTTTTTCTCATTTTTTCACATTTTTTCCATTTTTTCCCATTTTTCCCCATTTTTTTCTCATTTTTTCCCATTTTTCCAATTTTTTCCCATTTTCCCCATTTTTTCCCCATTTTTTTTGCCATTTTTCCCCCATTTTTTCCCATTTTCCCCATTTTTCCCATTTTTCC